GTGGGAAAAATAAACATAAAATAAACACGAAAACACTGACAAAAATGGAACGAACACCAATCAAATATAGAACAGTCATTGAAATACTTATGTTTAAGAACTCTGCTCATGAGTAACTCAGGTTTCTCTATAAGTCTCCACAACTGTTTTAAAATCATGGCTTTATTAAATAATTTCAGGTCTTTGAACCCCAATCCACCCTCCCTTTTAGGAACAGCAAGTTTATCCCAATTGAGCCAGTGCATCCCCTTTTCCTTGTTGTCACCCTTCTGCCACCAGAACTTAGCCATCAATCTGCACACCTCTTTACACACAGTAACAGGTACAACAAAACATGACATAACAAAAACTAGTAGAGCACTGAGCACATGTTTTACCAAAACCTCCTTATCTGCAGTTGATAACAATTGATTTTTCCAACTGCCAATTCTATCCCTCACCACATTTATCACAAACTGGAAAATATCAATTTTTGATGCACCAATTCCTAATGGTAAACCCAAATACCTGGAAGATCTCTTGACACTAACCCCATTCAACAATGCAGCAAGTTTAGCAGTGAGATCTGCAGTGCTATTCTTACTCAGAAACAGGGAAGATTTCTACAAATTAACTTTTTGGCCAGTGAACCCTTGATACTTTTGAAGACACTCAATCAAAATGGCAACATTATTCTCATCAGCTTTACAGAACACAATAGCATCATCAGCAAACAACAAATGTGAAACCATAGGCCCATATCTAGACACTTTCAGCCCTTTAAAAGCACCAACAGAAACCTAATGATTCAGAAAAGCTGAGAGAACTTCAGAGATAAGAATGAAAAGATAGGGGGACAAAGGGTCCCCCTGTCTAATCCCCCTTGAGGACTTCACATAACCACAGACTTTACCATTCAAGTTAAAAGAAAAGGAAGGAAAGGAAATACAGTTCATAACCCATCTCACAAACTTAGAGTGGAACCCCATTCTCCTCATCACTTGTCTGATAGCATCCCACTCAACTCTGTCATAAGCATTCTCCATGTCTAATTTCAAAGCCATAAACACATTTGGCTCAGATCTATGTCTATGCAGATAATGAAACATCTCATGGGCAATGACAACATTGTCAATCAACAATCTACCAGGAACAAAAGCAGTTTGTGTATGGCTAATACATTCATCAAGACAAGATTTTAATCTATCAGCCAACAGTTTTGCAATAATCTTATAGAGCACCCCACACAAACTAATTGGCCTGAAGTTGCTTAGAGACTCTGAGTGCAAGCATTTAGGAATCAGGGTGATAATAGTGTGTTTCAAATTCTTCAGCATATGACCAGAAGAAAAGAAATTGCCAATAGCTCTACAGATATCATCTTTCACTATGTGCCAAAATTTTTGGAAAAAAGTAGATGTCATACCATCATCCCCTGGTGCTTTATCAGGAGCCATATTGAACACCACAGCTTTTATTTCATCCTCCAGAAAAGGCCTGGTAATCACAGCATTTGCAGCATCAGAAATAGTGACTGGTATGTGCTGAAGCAGCTCCTCCTCACCCCTTGACCCTTCTGATGTAAAAAGGTCAGAATAAAATTTGGACACATGGTTTTCAATAGCTTCAGGATTGTCAAATATCTCCCCTGTGGAATGCACCAGTTTAGTGATTGAATTTGAATATCTTCTCTGAGAGACACATGCATGGAAATATTTGGAATTACAATCCCTCTCTTTCAGCCACAAAGCTCTGGATTTACTCCTCCAGAACCTTTCTTCCTCACTATGAGCTTGATCCAGATCCCTCTTGAGTTCCTCCCATTCCTCCCAGTTAATATCCCTTTTTTTGCACCTCAAATCGGCCAACTGCTCGTTCAACACCTTAATGACCCTCTCATTATTTCTGTGAATTGGTTTATGCCAAGTAAGAAGAGCCATTCTGGTGTGCTTGATCTTCTGGTGAACCTGGTACATTGCAGATCCATCTACCTCAATTTGCCACCCCAATTTGACTGCTTCTTGCACCCCTTCCATGGCCACCCAAGAACTATCAAATTGGAATCTTTTATGCCTTCTGGATACCTCCCTCTCAGTGTCAAAAAGAAGCACATTATGATCTGAGGCAGATCTATAAAAGTTGGAAGCCTCCATCTTAGGAAATTTACTGAGCCACTCAGCAGAGACAAATATTTTATCAAGTCTTTCTTCAACATACCCATCTCCACATCTGTTATTTCCCCAGGTAAAAAAAGACCCTACCTGGGGAATTTCTTGCATAGCCATATTGAAAATAAATTCTTGAAACCCCACAAAGCTGCTGGGACTCCTAGCAACACCACCTCTTTTCTCCTCATTACAAACTATGTCATTCCAGTACCCGGCTAACAGCCATCTATCTCCCCACTGATTCTTCCTGTCTTCAAGATATGCCCATTGTCTACCCCTTTCCCTTCTATCTGTACTCATATAAACAAAAACCATCCAACACCACTCATCAATCCCTGCCCCTCAGACTTCAATTTGGATACAGAACTCATTACCCACAATTTGGTTCACTTCAGTCAACTGATCCCACATAACTAAAAGCCCTCCTCTAGTACCAGAGGGGTGAACAAGATGCCATCTAGGGTGAAACCCCAATTTTCTACATACAGTAGTAGTAAAGGATTTATTTTTCTTAACCTCAGATAAAAAGATTAAGTTAGGGTGGTGAATTCTTCTGGAGTCCTTAATTTGGGAAACTGTAGAGGCCCACCCAGCCCTCTACAGTTCCACACCATGACCTTCATTGGTCATTCTGGGGCCATTTATGGCTGGCCTTCTCCACCCTTTCAGCATCAATACTCCCCTTCAGTTCTACTCAAATTTACTTATTTAAACATTAACTCACATTGGTTGATATATACATTTAAATGCAAATGCGTAGGACCCATTATCTAACTTATTTTGATATTATTTTTATTGTTATATCTAATAAAAAAAATAAATATAATATTAGTTATATAATAAAATAGTCATTGAATGACATTCAATAGATTAAATGAATGTCATGGATCTCACCATTAACCCTAATCAAATGAATGGTTACATTGATTTGAATGGTGTTATGTGCTATCTAAATCGCTTATTAATGGTGGGATGCATATGCCCTAACAACTAACCGTGACACTTTTTTTCAAAATTAACCTAACAAAACCAAAAAACTCCAAACAAAATCAGAACATCTTATACCCAAACATATTGTATGATATTCGAGCAATTTAGAGACAAAATAAAAATAGAGAGAAAGAAAAACTAAGAAAATAATTCCCAAATGAAAAACTTTGGCAGCAATTGCCTCTAAAAAAGTATCTATACTCTACACAAGCCAACATACATTAGGGACGCATATCAGGTTTTGTCATAGGAAAATCCTGACTTATGTAACAAGACATTTATAAATAGAGCCCGAATCACAAAAGCCATGATCAACCCTCTGCATTCTATTCGTATGATCCACTATGCTTCTACCACGAGCCTACACTCTGAGTTCTTTTCAGTGCACGGTCAGATAATCACAAGTCAGTGTTGCGTGAAAATGAAGGCAAAGGCATGCCTTCTTGGGGCCGCAAAATGACAAGAATGCCAAACATTCCTAGCATTGGGAGTACAACGAGCCATTTCAACAGCTTGTAGTAATACATGTGGAACGTGAGCGAGAAATCATCGTAAAAATAGATCCCATTCTTGTCGATCATCTCAACCAGTACAGACCCGGTAGTCCTTACCCCCACCGTAGGAAGTTTAATCCGATGCTTCCCAGGTCGATCAAATATTTGGTTCTGCTTGAGTGTTCTGTTTCCAAGGTAGTTACCAGGAACTAATAAGCTCACCTGTGATTTATAAACAGGCATTCACGAAAAAAACCCTCAAAACTAATCAGAATAAACTATCATATACAAATTCCTACTAAAACATCTCTCATGATTTATAATTACTTAACAAGTACCTCAATTTTGCAAAATAACAATAATGACGTGATGATCCAAAATAATAGTAGTGATGAATAAAAGAAGCTGTACTTTATTCCTTAATAAAAAGGACTGAACTACAAAACCATCCCTTTGTAATTATTCCCTAATAAAGATGAAAACATTTAATTGCAGAATAGGTTACATACCGTGACATTATAAGGTGCTTGGGAGCCAGACGGGAATCTATATCTGTCCACGATCTCCACTTCAACCCAAAAGTTCTTCCCTTCTTCATCTCGGAAGGCACGTGATGATGGCGTGACGTAAATCCCCTGGCGATTATACCGGGGTGCTGCATTATTCCTACCTTGATTAGGTGACCTCCAAGCCTGGATTTACAATATTTGCGAGGGGGAGCAAAAATTATCTACCAGTAAAAGTAAATAAATGTGAAAACATCCAGTAATAGTAACTTACTTTCAGAGGATGATGTGGCACAGGAGTAGAGAAGCAAAACACGTTGCCGTTCATGGTGGTAACTATAAGATCGAGATCATCCCCACCATCTACATTGTCGGCCAAGACCATGCTATATCTGTCATTGAACAAGAAAACATTTTAAGCGAGTAATTTATTTTAGTGAATAGAGTGGTCTTAATTACAATAATGACTAATACTTGAAACGAAGAAATGGGGTATTTCAAATTAGCTTACGATGTTTCTCCAATATCCACAACATCCGCACAGGACGTGGGCCCATCTATGAGGTATAGATACCCATCGAATGATGTTGTGACTATAGTGAGTCCTTTTTGCTTTTCCCCACGCCTTTTCAAGTCAACTAGGAGTACTTGATTCATTACTCTACCGTGCGTTCTGTATGGATAGGGCCGCACGATTGATCCATCCTTGCCACTAAGAACGTATATGTTTCCAGATACTGTTGGGACAACAACATCAGTGTGGCCATCACCATCTACATCTCCAATGCTGGGACCCTGAGGGATAAATTAGTAATTAATAACAGCATAAATAATAAATTGGTTTGTTTTTCTCTTTTTAAAAATAATAAATTTGGTTGTCTACAAACTATTTAGGTGTAATATACAGCATATGTTACCTGAGGAACGAGGCTCTTAACATGCGTTTCCCAAATCTCTTTTCCCTGTGGAGTCCAGGCAGCAACATTACCATGGGAATCAGTAGTCACTAATTCGATTTTCCCGTCATCATTTATATCGGCTGCAATTACTGCTCCTTGGATTTCAGCCATCTCAAGGGGGAATTTCTCTCTAACTTTTCCTGAATCAGTGGAAAGTGTGAGTGCATTAACAAAGATATGAAAGTTTCTGAAAAAGTAGCAAAATAAGAACATCAAGAGCTACAGCGACAGACCAACTGATCGAACGTACAGAGTTTAAAATAGATTTGTTTTTCTTCTTTACAGAATTACTTTCCAGTCTAATATAGGTTCATTATTTCACTTCATGTTTATAAAGACCTCAGCCACATTCTTTCTCGCTTCTGTAACTTACTTCAGTATGTTCCTTGGTTAAACACCAGAATAGAAACAACATGACTTTTTAAATGGGAGAAAAATGGAAGTAGCAACTATCGCAAGGCACATTTTCGACATGATTTAATGTTGAATTGAGCAAAAACAATTAAAAAAAAAAAGAAAAGAAAAAACTCTTCAAATTGTATTAGGAGAAGTTCGGTTTTCGGTTTCAATAATGGACAGACTGAATTTTCGGTTCGGTTCGGTTATGTTTCGACCGAATGTGCAGCCCTAAGGAGAATGCACCTCTGTGGTCTATAACATAAAACAAGCCAAAAGAAGTGCCAACAAGAATGTCCAAGTTCCCATCACCGTCCAAATCAACAACGCTAGGAGAAGAGTATATGTAGGCACGGAAATTTGCATTATCAGAGCTCAGATCCAGCTGAACACTCCACTTCACTTGCTTTGTGTCAAGGTTGAAGACAACAATGCCACCAGCTATATATTTTCCAATATCAATACCAGCAAGTTCCTTCATATGCTCTGGATTGTCATAATACCTGCCAAACTACAAACTGATCAGCTGCAATATCTGGAGGCCACCTGGAAACATACACATAGGTATACAGCCAGAGTATCTTCTCGTGTCACAGCTATCAAATTATCAATAGCAAGCAACAGTTGACTTCAAAGTCCATATCATAAATTAGCCAGCTAATAATGGAAGATGCCACTAATATATTTACCATGGTGGCTGATGCCCACCAGGGGTAGAAAGAGAGGCAGTGATATTCATGTCCATATTATAATCATAATTTTATGCTTCAAACTATATGACCATGTATTAGAAAACAGGCTCTCATTAGCAGCATGCGTGAGAACTTTAGAGAGGTTCACATCATATTTCTACAGCTTAGTTTATTGTATCAGTACAGGCAACCACAGTAAAATGTATTTAACTGGCAGTAAATAAACTTACTCTCGATCAAAGAAGTAGGAAACAGCAACAATCATCTCGAAGACACCATCCTTATCAATGTCTGCTATTACCTGACGTTAATTCAAGCAAAAAAATCAATCTGTAGTTCAAAATAACCAGAAGCAAGAAAGAAAGTAGTGGTCATAAGTATACTTACTGGAGTGCACAAAATGTGTGCATCTATATTAACATAATCTTCCAGTTTCTCATGTTGTGCTTCAGTCCACTCCTCGTCCCCCCACATGGAATCATCAATATAGTCATCGTAATCATAGTTATACTCATCCCCCAGTTCATCACTGTCCCTAAGCAACTCAAATGATGAGTCAGCATCTGCTTCTAGACCACCCTCATTTTCCACTGTTGCAGTATGGGCATCCTCATGGACTTTTGGGTCGTTATCTTCTAGAAGCTTTCTTCTCGCTGAATTTCCACTGTCCCCATTGCTAACTTTCTTAGATCCAGAAGCCGAAGAAGAGTTATTCGTAATTAGAGGCAGCTTAACGCCCGGATCTAGTAGACTTCCGTTTCTTTCCCCTTGGCCTTGGGTATCTCCTTGAGATGCATTGAGCTGATTGTCATGTTGAATATCAGCAGAAATAGTGCTATTCAAGGTGTCACGTTCTGGGGCAGAATGAGATGAGTCATTATGAGCTGCTATGGAACTCGTAATATTTGCTGTAGATTTACTCCCATTGGGCTCTGGAATTTTCACAAGACGTGTAGAGTTAAAATATACTCCCAACAAATTACTAGAAAATCCAACTTGATTGTAGATGAATGATCATAGAAGCACATAAACATGGACATACAATAGCAAGACTATGGCAGCTTTATCCTCCCATATGTACCACAAAATCATCTAGCATAACAAAGTACAACGAACGAAAACTAGGGTAATAGTGCAATTTTAACACAAAGGAACAATATTGCACTTTTCATAATGTTTTGCAATGAAGAAAGATAAGTGAAAATATTCAGCAGGCAAAAGAAAACTTACGATCTAATGAGTCCAAAAAAGACTCCTGGATTAACTGGTCATCATGAACATCTAGATGAGAACGGTCAGCAGGATCAGTATGCAAGCCAACATGCCAATCCTTTTTAACTTTCAACCTCGGAACCACCAATTTGTCTGACATAGTATAGCCCGACACCCTATTTTTCAGAAAAGAGAGTGATAAACACGAATATATTTCCCCAAGGCAAATGAAGCATAGAGGGTTGTTACCTGAAAAAGAGCACTTCACCATTGTATGTGGCTAAAGCAATTTCCCTAACGCCGTCCTTGTCAATATCATATAGAAGAGGACTAGAGTGAACCGTTGACTGATGAAAAGCCGGCCATCCTGATAAATTCCCGAACAAAAAAAGATTCACTATGTATTGATCTTAGTGCCTAGGGAAACTATGATATTCGCTGCTTACATACTGTTTGCTGTTCTTTCTGGCAATATTTCAAGAACATATTTTGGTTGTGAGATGGGAAACTGTGCAACAAATGATGTGGTGTCTGATTTTTTTTTTTTCTTTGTTAAGATATCATGAGGTGTTGTATATGTGGGGCCACTTATGATATCTTGCAATGTAGGTATTTAATCTATAATAGATTATTGTATTTAGCAGGAGATAACATGCATATACCCAATGGGGTAATAATTAGACATGAAAATTTAGTTGTCGTAGTAATAGTAGGTAGCTTACGAGAATAAAATGTACTTTCCCAGAACAATTAAATCAATTATATTCTCATATTAAAGATAAAGAAATGTTCCGCAAGTACTGGAATACTTAAATTCTTTATCCATCTTAAGTATATTTTCAGATATAGACGTGGATTAGAATAAGCAGGAATAGAAACCAATCCTAATGCATATCATGGATGTAGAACCCTGGCCTCGAGAAACGAAAATATTCTGCAAGTTCTAACTGATACCTGGCAGTTTATCCCCATCAGAGCCTTCTAAGACTTCCAAGTAATGCACAAAAGAAGGAACGACAACTTCAAGCTTTCCATCACTGTGATATACGTAAGAAAATATATCAAGATCCCATGAACAACTCCAAGAAAACATTTTCAAAAGAACAAACAAACAAACAAACTCGCATAATTACACACACACACACACACACACAAGTGATGCTAATAGGGGCACCTCAATGGACAGAAAACGAAAGATCAGGTTAAAAACTTATCTTTTTAGTGCATCTAAATTAACCAAATTTAGAACAATTTATGATTCAAGATTTGAGTTTGTGAAACCCTTGTGAAAGGCAACATGAATAAGGTAAATAAACAATATAACCATACTAGAAATCTCAAAGCATCACCTGTTAATATCAGCAATCAAAGGTGACGCGTATACGCTAGAACTCACTTCAGTCTGCCATCTAAGTTCCAAATGCCGGGGACATTGTGTGTTCAACAACTCATCTTCATCACTAGCGCACGAAACATCATAACCATAATGCATCAGTTACATGTAAGAAACTTGCAAATGCACAATGCATCACTAAAATAAGAACAGGGAAAAAATTAATGAGCGGTAATAATACCATATAACTAGAGTCACAATCACTAGAAAATGATTATATGCAACAGTTCTTATCAACAACTGATTGATACATTGTCATCAATAAACAAATTTCATTATAACAGGCAGCAATCCAATTACGACAAGACGACAAAAAACTCTTCCAACACTTTATTAATCCAATTAGTAATGCAATACAAGATGACAACCTTAAACGACAAAACCAAGAACTCACAAATTGGGGTAACCTAGGGCATCGTCGGTTGCCTCCCTCTCCCTAAACTTGTTGTTTTTAGCCTTATCCGATTGAGAAATGGCATATTCAAAACTCAAACAGGACAACGTGAAAACAAGGAAACTAAGAAACAGGAAAATCCAAGTTTTCATAAAGATAAGTGGCAAGAATTCTTTAAGCCCTGGTGAGGGGTTTTGAAGATCTCAGAAAAAGGAAAACGGTTTGGAGCAGATTCAAGAGTTACAGAGGCGAGGACTCGTGTTTTCTCTTTTTCTTTTTTTTTTTTTT